TAAACTCGGATGGCCATGGCTCGAAAAGGGGCACAACTCGTTACGTAACCCTGGAGGACCGGTTAGAGCCTCTAGGAAAGAGAGTTGCGCCCAAAGCCCATTGTTGCCTCCAACTGCGCGGCGGCCTGGTCCGTGGCGGCAACAACAACAACAACAACAACACCCACAGCGGCAGCAACAACGCCGCCAATCTACAACTACCACGATGATGACGACGAGAAGCCTTCTTGCGGTCCATCGCACGAACCGTTTCAAAGGATGCTCTTCATTCGCAGGACAGGGTTAGCTGGCTTCAGAAAGCTAGGAGTAATGTAGGGGCCGTAATAATTGAAATTGGGTTTGGGGGTATATTATACTGTAATTATAATAAGAACCCCCCAGAATAGTATAGGCACAAAAAGAAAACGCAACACAAACCAGGTCCGAAACTAGCAACCTACCCTAAACCATGCGCCTGCGATCCCCCAAACCCTAGCCCCCTAAACCTCGGATGGCCAATGCCCGAAACTCTAAACCAAACTATTATACAAAGAACCTAAACTCTAAACAAAACGATTATACAAACTTAGAACCTCAACCCCTTCACAAGTCTGAACCATAAGACAGCCCAAACGTGAATAAAGGGGAAATCCTTGAATTCCACCTCCGGCTGCAGAAGCGAACCGCTGAAGAGCACTGTGTCGAGCTCGTTTGCATTGCCGTAGGTCTTTCAGGATGGGGGTGTCGTGAGAGTGACATAAATTAATGTAGGGGCCTTACTGGTTGGAATAGGGTTTTGGGTTTAGGGTTTAGGGCTTAGGGTTTAGGGTTTAGGGTGGGGTGTATTATGATATAATTATAATAAGGAGCCCCAACATAGTATGGGTAATTATTGGGGCCTTATATTATTTGATTCAGGTCTAGGGTTGAGGGTTTACGCGCTGACAAGGCGATAGCAGCTGCTGGCTGCATGATTGACGGTTTAAGGTTGACCATATCGGTTTATAGGGCATGCAGGGCTTAGGGTTTAGGGCTCCGTACCTCTTTGTAAG